CCCCCCCACCCCCACCCGCAGCATGGACCGTGGACATCAACATGGCCTCCAGTGGCAGCACAGACCACGGATCGAGGAGACTCTTGATCCAGAAAATGAACCGTTCTTCTTCTCAGATATCTTGCTGCTCGGAGTCAGGGTGACTGTGGGGCTGGGTAGCTTGACCGGGGCAGGGCCCGTTTGAGCTCCACCCTGCCCTGGGTGCCCGCCATCCCACCAGCACAGCGTCATGGCCCAGCAGACCGAGCAGCGTCACATGACTCCACGGTGGGTTGAGCGGCTGCTCTGGCCTAGCGGGCAGCAGGAGGGTGAGGCAGGCCGGTGGTGGCCCGAGCCGGTGGAGGCCCGAGCCGGTGGAGGCCCGAGCCGGAGGACTGGCCCTAGCCTGCTCCTTCCGCCAGGCCCATCCCTGTCACCCCGCACCCCCGCCCTTCTCTAGCTCGGCTCCTCTCCGCTGAGAGCGCTGCTCCCTTCTGCCATCGTCTTCCTCCAGTTCTGTGAAACCACTTTTTAGAAAGCATCATCCCATAAGACCTGCCTTTTTTTTCCCAGTTGTTGCAGAGATATTGTGTGCTCTGCAGGCTCATCCTTCACTCCTACATCTCCCCGGTGAAGCCGCCATGGGTCTCTCAGGCTCCTCAGAGAAGCCTCGCAGCCCCGAGGGTGCTGATGGCCGCCACCACCTTGAATCTCCTTTTGCTAGTGGACGTCTTGAATAATCACTTTCGTCACTTTAAAGGTGGAAAGTTATTTGTTTTAAAGAAGTCTGGCTTTTCTTCCCTCATACAGGTATCCAATATGTGAAGTGTGAGAACAGACCCACAGAGGTTGCGCCAGGCCCTAACCCCTCAGCAAGAAAGCCCGCCGGTCGCACCAGGCTCATGCCCACATCCGCATCTTCAGCAGCTCCTCCAACGACTGCTTCAGTGCCTGCCTCCCCTCAGGTTCGGGGTGGATGTGAACTTCTGCTGAGGTCAGTGAGGCCGCAGGAGAAGCTGGCCTGAATCCCAGCATCTCCTTCTGGTGACCCTCGCACCTTCTTCTGGAGTCTTTGTTAAGGGGGAAGGTAGCGAGCCCTTCTCAAGTTCTGTGGGCCATCTTGTCAACCATGAAGCCAGTGTGGCAGCTGATTAGGAGTACAGGTGACAGCCTAGGACTTAGGACTGGCTTGGGAACGGGAGGGCAGCCTTGTGACTGAGCCCTTAACCTCTGCAGGCTGCACTGTGTCTGGATTGTCAGAAGTGAGCTGAGTCAGCTGACGTCCAGTCAGTCAGCATACACAGCTAAGGATTACAGAGGGCAGGAAACTCCCCACAGCTGGACTGCGATGACAGAAATCTGTTTCCCTGGCATCTAGCGCCGATGAGCTCCGTGAGCTCTCATCCCAGACAAATTCTGTCCTGTCTTTCCTCAGACCCCACTGGGCCACCATGCCCAAGTTCCCAGCGGCCTGTGCAGCCGGGTCTGACTCTGTCAGCTCCTCTGGTAAAGCGCCTCTTGTTTTCACCCAGGACTCCAGAGAACTACGGGCTGGTTTGCTTAGGTACATGACTCCAAGCTCCTGTCTCCTGGCTGTCCTGCCCCAGGGAATATCACCAGAGCCTAAGCCCACTGTGGTACAGGGGTGTAGATGTGAGTCACCTCCTCTGACAGGCTGTGTGCCCCAGCGCTCCGTGGAGACCCTCTGCCCTTAGCTGTCCTCCTCGGGCGCAGACACGTGCTCCAGAACAGCTTGGCCAAAGCCGCTGCATTTGTCTTCTATGGCTGTAGAGATAAGCCTCCACCAACAGCACAAACTTAGGCTCCATCGTGAAGGCCAGATGTGTGAAACAGGCCTCGCTAAGCTTTGCCAAGTCTCCATTCATGGAGAATCCCTTCCTCTCTCTGCCTTCTCCAAATTCAAAAGAGCACTTCCATCTTTTGCTTTGTGGCCCCTTCCTCCATCTTCAAAGCCAGAATCTTCAAATCTCTGACTCCAACCCCTGCTTCTGCTTCAAAGGACCCTGGTGACTACACTGGGCCCACCCAGTGCACGACACCAAGGGTGTCTTTTTATCTCAAGCCTGTCTCATAGCAACCTTGATTTTAGCTGCAATCTCTGTCCCCTGCCACCTTTCATAGGATACTCACAGACTTCAGGAATTAGGACAGAGACACCTGCAGGGCTGTTATTCTGCCTTAGACAGTGAAGGGCAGCATAACCTTAGCACTGTGGAAGGAAGAAGGGAGGGAAGGAAGGAAGGAAGGAAGGAAGGAGGGAGGGAGGGAGGGAGGGAGGAAGGGAGAAAGGGAGGGCAGACAGGCAGCTGGGGGACAGGGTAAGGTCCAGGCGGCAACTGTCAGAGTTGATGTAATCACCTGGATTCAAGTGCATCCGCCACGCACAGCTGAATGAGTTGCTTCCCTTATTTGAGCCCCAGTCTCATTTTATGTGGTTTGGTCTGGTTGGTTTCTTGAGGGCAGCCCAGGCTGGTCTTGAACTCCCAACAGTTCTCCTACTTCAGCCTCCACGCAAAGGGACTTGATGGGTATTAACACAATGAGGAAGTGTCCTATGAAATCATGTGGAGAGCTTTAAAAATATCCAGCTACAGCTCCCACCCCACCTCAGCTGCATCATTCTCCATCCAAGGGAGAGCCAGCCGCTGATACATTGAAGACATTGCCAGGGATTATAAGCATAAGATGCCATGTTCTGCTCAATCTCCTCATTGGAAAAATAGAAGATAATATGTCTGAACAACGGAATACCACTCAGTGATGAAAAATAGTAGGCTGTGGAAATACCATATCAACATGGGTAAAACTCAAAATTATAGTGAGTGAAGCCAGATCAGGAAAATGCACTGCGGCAGGCTTCTGTTTATATACACTTCTAGAAATTGCAAACCATTTTATAGTGATGGAAAGTAAATCAGTGATTCCATGTGGCCAGAAGGAAGGATTCCAAAGCACACAAAGATGCTCAAAGTGTGATGGAGCCGCTGACTGCTGTGGGATGTTGGTGAGCTCGTCATCTATAAAATCATCTGTAGGTCCAATGTTCCAGAGTACAGTTCATTTTATGTGAATAAATATCTGTGGCATGCTCACCCATAAATGGGACATGTATACAACACCCCCCCTTCTCTAAGGTTGAGGGACATCATGGCAGACGAGAGTAGAAAGATTGTAAGAACCAGAGACGGAAGAGGACTGGGGAACCAGTGTCTTCCAGGACATGACAGGACCACACTCATGAACTCACAGTGCTGTGCCTGAATAAGATCAAGTCAGTCAATATTCCGGTGTAGAGGAGGGAAGGTCTCCCGGGCCCTCCCCCTAACTAAGGAGCTATTGATGGCCAGTGGCTGCTGAGGAGGGAGAGTCAGTTTTACTTAAAGGTGTGCCCCTAGTGCGTTGACCACACTCCAGGACATGGCTCCACACCCATGACTGTATGGGCAGGCATAAATTAGACTTGGTGGCTGTAAAAAAAAAAAAACCAAACAAACAAACAAACAAAAAAAAACATGAAGTTAGAGGGGACTGGGAATGATCTGAAGAGTCAGGGTGGATATAATCAAAATATATTATATACGTGTATGAAAGTCTCAAAGAATTAATTAAAACATATTGAAAATAAACTACATGCTTTACACACACACAGTTCATTGTGTATCCTGTGACTGAATGCTGCTCACTGTAAACTGTTTATGTCTTCATAAAACTTATAATCAGAGCTGATTATAGTTTCTTCCTCATAGGGTGATGGTATAATTGAAAAACCTCAGGACAACATCTGGCACGTAATCACTCCTGAGATATCTAGCAGAGTCAGGTGTGGTGTTACAGGCCTGTAATCCCAGCCCTCAGGAGGCTAAGAACGGCGGACTGTGAGTTCAAAGGCAGCCTGGGTTACAGAGAGAGTCCTTGTCTTGAAAAAAGAAAAAAATAAAAAAGGTATGTGGGAGAAGTTGGGAGAGAAAGTGTTCTTAGTAATACTGTCACTGGGGCTGGAGAGCTCTGGTCCTTCGCTGGCTCAAAGCACAACTGCCCTGCCCTCCCCGACCAGATCTGAGGCTTTGTACTCGAGTAAGGGTGTGGCTGGCCGATTTTAAAGCTCTCCAGTGATTGAATGGATTTGAGTAAACTGGGACTCTTCCTCACCGCGTCAATAGCCAGCAAGTCCCTCATGTGGAAACTGTGCTAGGACATTCCAGAGAGTTCTGTCTCACAGGCCAGAGCTCATTCGTTCATTCATCAAGTATAACCCACTCCATTGTGCAGGCCTGACCAGATGCTGGGATCCAGGACAGATCCAGGCTTCTGCTTCCTGGAAGCTAACCTGTGAAGGGAGACAAACAGACCTGCTGTGAGGCCCGTGGCTAAGAAGCTGCAGCCCAGGAGGAATCCAGGAGCATGTCACAGAAAGCAGAGACAGACATCTCTTCAGGTTCTTCTTCAGGAATGTGTAGGCATATGCTGTTCAAGGAAAGGCAAAGCTATGTAACCAACTATTCCAAACTGGCATCTTAAGGGAATAGTTTACTGCGTGTAGAGTCTGCAGGTCGGGAGTGTAGTGGGCAGGGTGAAAGCACCTGGCCTCCTCCTTAGTGTTTGTGCCTCTGCGGGAGTCTCATTTCATAGACCAGCATGACTCGGAGACTCGCCGACCATCGACCAGAGTGGATTGTCTGTGTGGAGTGCTGAGCTTCCTCACAGCCATGGTGGCCTTGGGTAAGGCCCGGGTGATGAACCCATGTAGTTTCCCACAGTATCATATTGACTGAGGGAGTCTGAAGACCACCCTTCCAATTCTATGACATCTGTAACGCATAGTATTTTCAACCAGACAGGATCTGGAGTCGCTTACAAAACAGAACTCTGGCCCTGTCTGTGAGGGGGTTTCTAGATTTGGTGAAGTGAAAAACCCACCTTAAATGTAGGTGGCACCATCCCATGGCCCAGGGTCCTGGACTGAATAAAAAGGAGAAAGGGTGCTGAGCTGGTGCTGAGTTGGTACGTTCATCTTGCTTCCTGACCACAGATGCGATGTGAGCAGCCACCTCGTGCTCTTGCCACTCGCCTTCCCCATCGGGATGGAGCAGCGCCTTTCCCACCACGACGACCTGTACCCTCAAACCGTGCACCAAAACAAGCCCCTCCCTCCTTAAACTGCTGTAATCTGGTGTTTTGTTCATCCTCTTGGCTGAAGAGGCCAGACGTTGGGTACGGTGCACCAGGGCTCTCCGGGGCTCTCGGTGGGAGTGCTGGTGCATCTGGAGACTGAGGTGAGGGTGATGGCATCTCCTATGTGCTGGCTATTCCTATGCACCAGACACCACGTTCAGTTCTCCTGTGCGTTAATGAACCAATTCACTAAGTCTCTTAGCGCAATCAGGGTCTGGACTGGGTGTTTCCAGATTCTTGACGTCTTGTTTAAGACAGAAATAAAAGTGCAAAGAGATCGTGAAGTAGCACAAGCACTTTATTTAAAACAAAGCAATCAGAACAGATCAGATGGCAGGAGTGACAGCAGTCCACAGGGTACTGAAAAGTCCTGATCAGTGTTTGGAACTTCCTTTCATGGGGCTCAAGAGAAGGAGGCGTAGCTTGGGTGGATCTCGACTTTGATTGACAGATAAGTAACCATTTCCCCACTGTACATGTCCCTTCCCAAAATACAGCTGACTTCAGTCATACTCATGCCTACTGATGCACAGGCCTGAGATAGGCAATTCTCCCTACAAATTCACTGAGGAACACAGTTTCCACCCTGAAACAGTCTAGCAGATTGGCCCTCTTTTCTTCATAATAGATGTGTTGAGAGCGTTTGAATAGGAAGTGTCCAAGTCTGATGTTTGCTAGGGGAAGGAGACGTGTCTTTCATTGTTCCAAGTGGGGTGTGCAGCTTTATGAAGGCGGGGGCCACAGGTTGCTAAAAGTTGCTAGGGGCATTGTTTAGAGAGGGGTGTGTGTCCATATTGTGTGCAGGTAAGAGTGCCAGGTGCCAAGTGCACTATTAGAAGAGGTGTCTGTACATAGTCCAATCTAGGGAGAGTCTAGGCTGCTAAGCTGTGGCCTCTGCTTGCCTGCCTCAAATCTTCAATGTCTCAAGGAATGTAGGGAACTGGTAGAAAGTTGGGGAGCTGGTAAACAGGAGAGACAAGGTCTGAGCCCAGATAGCCTGACTCCCCAGCCCCGGCAGCAGCCACTGCTCTACATTGGCCTCTTCAGTAGAGGCAAGTGTAGCTGGCTGTGCTCTGTCTGTGGGGAGGGGAGGAGCCAGGACCTAGAGGCCTTGAACACACGTGGAAGAGTCCTTAGTTCCTGCTGAGTATGGTGGGGATCTGTGGAGAGGTCTAGAGCCAGAAAGCAGCGTGGTCCCTCTTCCTCCAGGCTAGGCGAGGCCTGGGAGCCATGCCGCAAGGAGATGGGGCAGCCCAGAGGGAAGACAGGGAGTACTGGTCATTACAAAGCTCCTCATCCCTGAAATATTCTGATTTTGAAGAATGCTCTTGTAATATGTATGAAAAAACTAAAAAATTTTAGGTAGTATGTCACATTAACAAATTTAATTTAAATATAAAGTATAATATGTAAACTTTTTTTTTTTTTTTTTTTAGAAGTCCAGTTACCTTGGAGTTTATTTAAACTAAGGAAAAGGTCATGTTTTCATGCAATACATACTTGGTTCTTTAAATAACAATTGTGACAAACAGCAGGAAGAATTAGAGAATGCTGCACTTGTGATCCATACAAAACATCAACATTTTGGGTTGTACATAATTAAAGAAACATCTCACTTTTCGAAATACTGTAATAGCCAATATATAGAGGCATGCCTTTATGTGGGCATAGGAATGCAATTTAGAAAAGAAAAAAAAATCACATGGGAACTATTCAATTTCTTTAAAATCACTGAGCAAGAAAAGCAACATTGAACTTTCATACTGAGTTTATGCAGCTTCTATACAGTACCTTGACTTCAATCCAAGAGCCAAGTTAGACTCCTCTATTTTTGGTAAACAACTGCATGGTAAACTTAGATGACTTTCCCTCTGGATTTTACCTGGGAGTGGCCTTTTTAATATTTTATTTAAAAGAGGGCAGGTTTGGCACTTTTATACTGATGTCACCAATGTTAATATTTCTTGGGATCTCAGGAAGATTTATATTCTTTACAGCTGATACAGCACGGGCTGGAGCTCCTGCTAAGCCAGCCTCAGATTTCTCCAGCTTATTTTGTGCATCAATTTGTGTAACAATCTCATTCATGTTGGTCTCCAATACCATCCCTCCCATCACCATTTCTGCAAGAATATTGTGAACCTTGTCTACATGGAATATTAAATCCAGTTCACAGACATTTTCAAAACATTTGTCTAATGTTTCCACAAATACTTGAATTAGATCTAAAATGCCAAGCTCACTTTCTGAGGAATCCACACAGAAGACAAAATATAGTGTTGCATAATGTCTATAAATCAGTTTGTTGTCAGATCCTCCAATTAATAATCCTCCTTCTAGGAAATTACAAACATTCTCATCTCGCTTAGACACCAAATGGAAAGTCTCCCTGATGATTTGCTGTTGCGTATCTTCACTGTAGGGCTGGTAGAACTTGGAGAGCCGCGGCTTCCCGTGGTTGTTGAAGATGAGGATGGCCTTGATCATGGCTGGGCCGGGGCCGACCGGGTGGGCGCTGGGGCCAGGGCGGGGGCGGGCGCGCGAGCCTCCTCGCCTCCGGGAGCTTGCTGCCACTGCTTCCCCCACCCGCCCCCTCCCGCCGTAAACTTTTTTTTTTGTTTTTGAGACAGGGTTTCCCTGTGTAGTTTTGGTGCCTGTCCTAGATCACGCTCTGTAGACCAGGCTGGCCTTGAACTCACAGAGATCTGCCTGCCTCTACTTCCCGAGTGCTGGGATTAAAGGGGTGTGCCACCACTGCCTGGCGTAAACATTTATATATTATGCATCATATAATGGAATAATAGAAACATGTAGCATAAATATACAAGTGATGTATACTACTTGATAATATAAACATATTACAGGGAACCATGGAGTTGGCTTGGCTGCCATGAGAGGTACGTGTCAGGTTAGAGTCCATGGCTCCTGGGCCCGTGTTCCTTCCGGTTCCTGAGAGACCAATGCACTCCCTCAGGCTGTGACGTGTTCAGGCTGCTTTGTGTTTCTCTGTATGTTCCCTTAGAAGTCAAGGAAGCAGGAAGGCTTGACAGGACAATTGGTCTTAGACATTAATCTTGTGTACCCTGTATGACTTGCAAACTTTGTTGTATCCTAGCAACTACAACTGTATTGATCCTGGCAATTATCATTATATCCTGTTCTGATACAGGTATAAAACGTCTGATTGCTCTCAATAAAACTGCCACAGCCTCTGCTGTGCTGTGGCCCCTCCAACTGGCCTGATTTCATTCCTTGAGGCCATATCAGGTGAGCTTGGTCTGGCAAGCAAGAGTGGGCGCTTATAACATATAATTTGAAGGCTGCTGGGTACTGAACCTTGCTAAGTATGTGCTCTGCCTTTGGACCGATCGCCTAGTCCCATGGGTAGCTAGCACAGTGTTGAGGATGGTGCCCTGGATTCCAAGTGCGATATTAGATTAGATGAGACTGAAGACAAGGAGCTGCCACTGGGAAAGAGGATGGTACCCACTCAGGGGATGCTGATGTGGGAGGCCTAGAGGAAGTGGCCCAGGGGCACTGACTGAGGCTAAAGGCTTGAGAGCAGGAAAGAAGGACTGACGCTCTCTAGGAGAAATGGAGAGGGTTTCCTCGCACGGTCCTTCTTCAGTATCCAAGAGGAGCAAGCTCCAAGATGCCCACGGATCTCCAGATGCTCAAGTCCCTTCACCAAGTCGCATGGTTGCATGCAGACTAAGCACATGTTCCCGTTTACTATGACATCTCTAGATTACTCATAAGACCCAATACAATGTAAAGGCTGTAAACTATCATGCTTTATATTATCATGTTACTTTAGTATCACTATGAAAAAAAAAAAAAAAAACAACTGGCAGAAACAACTGAGGAAAGGGTTATCTTGGCTGCTGGTTTCAACCCATCATGGGGGACAGGGGACCATGGCTGAGCAGCTCAGTCTAGGGCAGCAGGAGCATGGGTAAATGTCATTCACACGGTGATGGACCAGGATGTGGCTGTGACCCAAACTAGGAGCTGGGCTATAACTTCAAAGGCCTTCCCCTGCTAACCCACTTCCACCAGTGGGAGCAAACCTCTTAAAGGGTCCACAACCTCCCCAAACAGTGCCACCATCCAGGGAGCAAGCACTCAAAAGATGAGCAGGTGGAAGACGCAGCAGATTCGCACCGTAAAAAATATCTGCATAGCATTTTATGGTTGTATTGTTATTTTAATTTTAATCTACATTTATTTAATTATTTACTTGTTTGTTTGTTTGTTTTGAGACAGGGTCTCACTATGTAGCCCTTGGTTGGCCTGGAAATCACTATGTAGACCAGTCTGGCCTTGAACACCTGTCTCTGCCTCCAGAGTGCCGGGATTAAAGGTGTGTGCCACCACACCCAGTCTTATTTTTAATTTTTTTAAAGATTTATTTATTTATTTATACAGAAGAGGGCACCAGATCTCATTATAGATGGTTGTGAGCCACCATGTGGTTGCTGGGAATTGAACTCAGGACCTCTGGAAGAGCAGTTGGTGCTCTTAACCTCTGAGCCATCTCTCCAGCCCCTATTTTTAATTTTTTAAAAATATTTTCAAACCATGGTGCATGAATCTGTGGGTGGAAACTGCAAACACAGAAGGCTGTCTGTCTGTCTGTCCTTCTGGGAACTTGGACAAGAGTCACCTCTCCGTGGATCAAGACTGTCCATGGCAGGCTTGGGAAGCCATTGCCCAGTGCTTGTGGGAGGGGGTTCCTTGAACTTATTCTGCCCAGAGAAGGTTCTTTTCAAGAGGTTTCTCAGTTTCCTCTTCTCTTTCCATGCTGCGGCGGCGGAGAAAAGGACACACAGAAGCCCACCTCTCCACACACACTCGACAAAACACTCACCAATGCTCTCAGGTGGGGGCCTCCTCTCAGGACCCTCTCTTCCTGAGTGATTTCAATGATGGCGACTTCAAGGGGAGGCAAGATTCCTTAAAAACCCCACATAGCATCCATGTGGGACCAACTCTGCTTCCCTGGGTTCTCAAAGCCCAATTTAATCCAAGCTTATTAACACATAACATTTTAATTTGCCTTTCAATATGTTCCACACTGTATAAGCGTAACAAATTTAATAATTTCAGAAGTAAGGATTTCATATGTTAATTACAATGTTCTATTTCTTTGTGAAGCTCAAACCAGTTGGGGTAACCCCTGTGGAAAAGAGATTGGTGGAAAGAGAGTTTCTGGTGTCCCCATGCACCCCCACACCTCCAAAATGCTGTTTTGAAAGCAATTGAGAGGGGGAAAAA